ATAATAATTATAATTAATAATAAGTGTTTCCATCTTTGCTGAACCTTTACCCAGCAGCCAGAAGGATCTTAGGAAGACCTAAATAAAATTATATCACAGCGAATTTCAAAAATTACCTCTTCTACCTCCTGGTACCCTAAGGCCTTGATCTCTCACAGTCTGTTTATCAAGGAATTATGATTATAATAATAATTATAATTAATAATAAGTGTTTCCATCTTTGCTGAACCTTTACCCAGCAGCCAGAAGGATCTTAGGAAGACCTAAATAAAATTATATCACAGCGAATTTCAAAAATTACCTCTTCTACCTCCTGGTACCCTAAGGCCTTGATCTCTCACAGTCTGTTTTCCCTGCAGCCACCAGAGGGAGCAGGTGAGCTGAGTCAGCTCCCTCGCTCCTCTACAAGCCCCGCTTCCTGCTTTCTCAGTGTAAGAACCCAAGTCCTCCCTGCAGCCCCAAGGCCCTGCCACCCTGCGGGTCCTCTTTGTCGCCCCTCCTCCCTCTCTGCCCTTCATTCCCTCTGCACCAGACACACAAGCCTCCCCCCTGCTCCTTCAACTCGTCAGGCTCCATTCTGCCCCACGGCCTTTGCACAGCTGTGTCCTCTGCTTGGGACCTTTGCCTTTGTCAATAATTGGCTGAATTGATTGACCAGAGAGCTGTGGGGATTTGCCTGTTCCCACCCTCCCCAGAGCTATGGTTACAGGCATGAGTCCCTCCCTGTTCCTGTATTTTTATGTGGGTGCTGGGGATTCGAACTCAGGTTTCCATGCTTTCATAACAAGCACTTTATGACTGAGCTATCTCCTCAGCTCTGTTCTATCATTATTCTTTTTCTTTCTTTTCTCTTTGCTTGCCCTCTTTCTCTCTCTCTCTCTCTCTCTCGCTCGCTCGCTCGCTCTCTTTGGCTGGACTCATTTTCTTTTGTATCTTCCTCTTCACAACCATTTCCTGAACACGAGGCAGGGACCTTGCCCACACAGATCCTCATTATTAATCTTCTAGAATCTTCCTGTCAGAGATAGAAATTCTCTTGCCAGGGGCTGGAGAGATGTCTCAGAGGTTAACAGCACTGGCTGCTCTTGCAGAGGACCTGGGTTCAGTTCTCAGGACTCCAGGGAATCTGTTGTTCTCTTCTGACCACTGTGGACCTTGTATGACATGGGCGCACTTATATACACGCAGGCAATGTACTCATGTACATAAAATAAAAATAATAAATAGGCCAGGCGTGGTGGGGCATGCCTTTTATCCCAGCACTCAGGAGGCAGAGGCAGGTGGATCCCTGTGAGTTCAAAGCCAGCCTGGTCTACATAGTGAGTCCCAGGACAGCTGGGGCTACAGGGAGAACCTGTCTCAAAAAAGACCAAAAAATAAAAATAAATAAAAAGAAAAGAAATTCACTTGCCCAAGGTCACACTGACCTCTTGCTGTCCCCGAGGAGCTGACAGCCAGTGGTGAAATGGGACCAAGACAGGGAATGATAAATAAACACAGCTGTGGAGGGAGCCCCATCTGGCTTTGGAGTCCCTCCTTGGGAGAATCAGATGAGCTTATGGGAAACATCGCAGTGTTTATGCAGAACCTGTCCATATCCTCCCAAGTCCATCATCCCCAGATGGTCAGGGCTCAGTGTGCAGAGCACTTGCTAACATGCAGAAAGCCCTGAGTTCGAATTTCAGCACCACATAAGCCAGGTGTGGTACCGCTTGTCATCCTAGCACTTGGGAGGTGGAGGCAGGAGGATCAAGAGTTCAAGGTCATCATTGGCTACATGTCTAATTCAGGACTAGCCTGGGCTACATGAGACCCTGTCTCAACCAAACCAAACCAAACCAAAACATGAAGCCCTCCCAGAATCCCTCATCTGTGTCTGATGTCTCCTGGTGTTCTCATCAGATCTCTGACTGTTCAGTCCTCAGAGACCCCCTCTGCTGCAGCTGTCATAGCTGCTTTGGTGGTGTTTATAAATGCTTCAAGCATTTTCTAACAAAACAAACCAGAGGTTGGACATGGTGGCACAGGCCTTTGGCAGGCAGATCTCTGTGACATCAAGGCCAGCCTGGTCTACATAATGATTCCCAGGTCAGCTGCTGCTACAGGGAGACCATGTCTCAAAAAGACCAAAAATAAAAACCAAAACAAAACCTCCAAACAGCAAAACCAACCAAACAAAAAACCCCAAGAAAGCTCCCTTCCTTGTGTGTGCCATGTCAGAGAGGGACTCACCAAATACGAAATTGTCAGGCCGGAAGATCTGTCCAAAAGGGCCAGATCGGACAGAATCCATTGTCCCCGGTTCCAGATCCACCAGCACGGCACGGGGGACATAATTTCCTCCTGTGGGGACAGCAGATGGAGGGCAGCTAGGGTGTGTGCCAGGCCCCGCAGGCCACCGGCCACATCCTGTCCCTCTTGCCAGCCCACACCCCCGTACCAGTAGGCATCCGTTGGCCTGCCTGCGTCCTACCTGTGGCCTCGTTGTAGTAGACGTTGATTCTTTCCAGTTGCAGGTCACTGTCCCCGTGATAGGTTCCGGTGGGGTCAATCCCATGCTCATCACTGATAACTTCCCAAAACTAGAGGAAGGGGTGTCCAGAAGGGCTGAGTAGCTCCCCAAGATTATTATTGCTTTCATTCTTTTATTATTTATTTATTTACTTATTATTTGTTTTGGTTTTTTGAGACAGAGTCTCCCAGCTGTCTGTAACTCTCTAGGTAGACCAGGTTGACCTCATTCTAACAGAGTTCTACCTGCCTCTGCCTCCTGAGGACAGGGACTAAAGACCTGCATCACCACACCCACTTTTCTTTTCTTTCTTTCTTTTAATTTTATTTAGTGTGTGTGTGTGTACACAGAGGTCAGAGGACATGGGAGTCCTCTGCAGTTGGTTCTCTCCTTTCACACTTAATCTAGTGTGTGTGCATGAGAGAGATAGAGAGATAGAGAGAGAGAGAGAGAGAGAATAACATGTGGGAGTTGGTTCTCTCCTTCCACATTGTGGGTCCCAGGGATCAAGCGCAGGTTCTTAGGCATGGCAGTAAGCCCCTTTACGTGCTGAGCCATCTTACTGGCTCTATTGGGGTTTTTGTTGTTTATTTTTTTTTAACTTTTAGTTTTTGATACAGGGTCTCACTATATAGTCCCAGCTGGCCTGGAACTCCCTCTATAGACCAGACTGGACTTGATCTCACAGAAATCTGCCTGCTTCTGCATTCTGAATGCTGGGACTACCATGTGCTACCATGAACGGCTACTTGGTTTCTATTTTTAATTGAAGTTTTGCAAATTTCATACAACATATTTTGATCATGTTTAGAGTACTTAGACACCCCCCCCCCGCATCTGCACTCCTCAAACGCCCTTCAGTGTGGGTCCATCCAGGGAGCCTGGTTAGCCTGCCTAGCATCACACCCTTAAGAGCCTGACTCTAGGTTTTTTGAGACAGGGTCTCAGTATGTAGACAGGCTGACCTTGATCTCATAGAGATCTGCCTGCCTCTGCTTCCTCAGGGCTGAGATTAAAGGCTGGGATTAAAGGTATGCACCCTCATGCTCCTCTCACCTTAATTTTTAAAAAAGCATTTTATTTACTTATTTATTATTTATCTATTAGTTGTTTATTTGTGTGTTTAAGTCAGAGGACAACTCATGGGAGACTATTCTCTCTTCTATCTATGGGTCCCATAGATTGAATTCAGGTGGTCTAGTTTGGCAGCAAGCCCCACTGAACCATCTCACTGGCCCTGTTTTTTTTTTTTTTTTGTCATTGTTTGTTTTTTAAGGATGAGGTGGGTTGTGGGAAGGTTTGTTTGAATAGCTTTTGTGGGTGGTAGAAAAAATCTTTTTGCTGTTATTTTATTTATTGATTAATATATTTTGAGACAGCATCTCCCATAGCCCAGGCTAGCCTGGCATTCACTATGTAACTGAGGATAACCTTAAACTGATCTTTCTGCCTCTACCTCTTGAGTACTGGGATGACAGGTGTGTACCACAACACCTGGTTTATGGAGTGCTAGGGATGGAACCCAGAGCTTTGTACATGCTAGGTAAGCTCTCTGCCCACTGAGGTATGGTCACACAATTTCCCCATCCCCCCCTTTTTTGAGACAGGGTCTCATGTTGCCCAAGCTGGCCTCCAATTAATTGTGTATGGTAGGCTGGCCTTGAACTACTGATCCTCTGGCCTCTACCTCCCCAATGCTGGGATGACAGGCTGGATCAGTCAGGAAGGACTGAGAGATGGGATGTCTAGGGCACCTTTCAACCATTGCTCTGGTTGCTGTCTGTCCCCCCAGGGAGGTGACTTGGGGACCCAGAGCTATAACCCAAGCAGGAGCCAGCACGAAGGGAGAGGAGGGGGTGGGGATAGGCTGGGGCCCCAGCTAGTCATCCATGCCAGTGCACCCCAGCTGCAGCCAGAGGGGAGGAGAGGCTGTGCCTCTTTGTGCTGTGCTTAGCTGAGAGGGGACAGTGGTCCAGCTGTGAGTCCAGCTGTGGCCAAGGGACACAAGGCTAGGCCCTGCCCCCATCACCAGCCTCTTTGTTCCCAGCCTGGCTCTGCCCTGGCTCCCCTCCCCCACCATCTCTGGGATGCAGAATTCCTGGGTGAGTCTTAGTGAAGCTGAGGACCCTTTCACTGCCCTCAGTGTCCCCACACACCCGCGGGCCCCCGCGCACCTTGGCCCCGATCTGGTTGCCGCATTGGCCGGCCTGTAAGTGCACGATCTCTCTCATATCGGTGGCGATGCTCGGGGCGGCAGCTGGACTGGTGTCCTGGGGCCGCTGTGGCGCTGGCTCTGGAGATGCGGTGGCGGCGGAGCTGAGTCCTTGCCTCCCGGCGCCTCTATATGAGCAGACTGGAATCCGCGTCACCACTGGTCACCCGAGAGCTCCACCCTCTGGTTCTGCCTGGGATGCAGGCATGGATGGTTGATGGATGGATGGATGGGTGGATGGAGGGAGGGAGGGCCTGGGGGGATGCGGGTATCTACTTCCTCAGCATTTCTGAGGACCTCAGGGTCCCTGTGCATCCTCCATCTCTGCCTTCGGGCACCATCATTTGCTCTCTAGCGTCCCCTCTAGGTTTGGTGGTAGCTGGGCAGAGAGCAGACCCAGTGTCTTGTAAACAGCATCTGGGGCATCCTTCCCCCTCCTGCCCTGCCCCTGCCTCAGTTTCTCTTACTGCTTCCCTGCTCCCCATTCCATTCAGACCCTTCTGCTCCCCCACCTTTGCCTGGATCAGCAAGGGCACATGGTGGCAGCCCAGAGCCCTGGGATCTCTAGGGTCTGCTATTTGGTTTCAGGGTGGGGTGTGTGTGTTTGTGTGTCTGAGTGTGGTGTGTGTGTGTGTCCATGTGTGTGTGTCCATGTGTGTGTATGTATGCTTATTCCTGGAGGTCTTTTCTGGAACTCTCCATATTTTTTCTTTCATGGTTGTGGGAGAATGGTTGTGCAACGCGGTGATCAGGGTTCTGAGAAATTGTGGGAGCCTAGGAAACCATTCTTCTGGGATTGGGGTTTCCTTGTAGGTGGAGGTCACCCCCAGCAGGGCCTGAAGACAGTATTCTGGGCTGAGACTCGTAACTGAATCCCACAGTTTGGGGGAGTGTTTCCCCTATGACAAAACATCTTGCTTCAGCATTATTTAGTTGTTTGCTTACTTATTTACAGGATTTCCTGTGTAGCCCAGGTAGGCCCAGAACTCATTTAGCCCAGGCTGGCTTGAACTTCTATACCTGCCTTCAGCCTGTGGAATGCTGGGATTACAAATGAATGACCCACACCCAGCCCCAAGTCGACATTGAAAAAAATCTTTGTGTGTATGTCTATGTGTGTCTCTGTGTGTTTACATGTATGGAAGTCAGTGGTTGGTCCTGGCCTTCCACCTTGTTTGTGACAGGGTCTTTCCCGTTTGCCTGCAGTTTCCAGAGCTTCCTCTGTCTCTGCCTCCCATCTTCTGGTAGGGTCCTGTTCTGAATTGGAGATGTGCTCTCAGTTTTTACTTTAAAAAAAAATTTATTTATTATTTTAAAAATTTTATGTGTATGCATGTATTGCCTGCATGTAGGTAAGTGCACCTGTGTCATGCAATGCCCTCGGAGGACAGAAGTGTCTGTCAGATCCCCTGAACTGGAGTTACAGAAAGTTGTTAGCTGCCATGTAGGTGCTGGGATTCAAACCCAGGTCTTCTGCAAGAACAGTCAGTGCTTTTAACCGCTGAGCTGTCTCTCCAGCCCCTGTGCTCTCAGTTTTTATGAGGGTGCTGGGAATTTTAACCAGGTCCTCATGTTTATGCAGCAAGCCCCTTTACCCCCTGAACTATCTCTTTTGGAGTTTTTTGAGATAGGGTCTGATGTAACCCAGATTGGCCTCAAATGCCCTATGTAGCCAAGGATGTCCCTGAATTCCTGATCCTCCTGCCTCCACTTTTTGAGCCCTGGAATGACAGGTGTGTGCCACCATGCCTGGTTTATGCAGTGCTGGGATGAAGCCAGGGCCTCGTGTGTGCTCAGCAAACTGTCTAATTGAGCCATAGGCCCAGGTTTCCCATTGACCTGATTGTGATGTTGCCAGCTGACCATAGACTGAAACTTTTTCTTTTTCAACTAGAATTATTTATTTTTAATTAAAAAAATTTAAATATTTTATTTATTATTTTTATTTTATGTGTATGAATGCAATGCCTGCATGTAAGTAGGTCCAGGTGCACCCATGTCATGCAATGCCTGTGGAGGTCAGAAGAGGGCATCAGATGGTAGTTATCTGCCATGTGGGTGCTGGGTACTGAACTCAGGTCCTCTGTAAGAACAACCAGTGTTCTTAACCACTGAGCCATCTCTCCAGCCCCTAGAAGATAGTTTTTTGCCATGTCAGTTTAGTAAATAAGTGCCCCCCTAGGGCCTATGATACATGGGTTTTTGACCAGACGGAACTGTGAAACCACAAGCCAAATTTAAAGTCCTTGCCTAGAATCCCCCAATGAGGGTCAAGGGGCATGGCTCAGGGGTAGAGTGACAGCCTAGAATCCCCAGTGAGGGGCTGGGGGCGTGGCTCAGGGGTAGAGTGACAGCCTAGAATCCCCAGTAAGGGGCTGGGGGCGTGGGTCAGGGGTAGAGTGACAGCCTAGAATCCCCAGTGAGGGGCTGGGGAGGTGGCTCAGGGGTAGAGTAACAGCCTAGAACCCCCAGTGAGGGGCTGGGGAGGTGGCTCAGGGGTAGAGTGACAGCCTAGAACCCCCAGTGAGGGGCTGGGGGTATGGCTCAGGGGTGGAGTGATAACCTAGAATCTCCTAGTGAGGGGCTGGGGGCGTGGCTCAGAGATAGAGTGACAGCCTAAAAAATCCCCCAGTGAGGGCTGAGGGTGTGGCTCAGGGATAGAGTGACAGCCTAGAATCCCCAGTGAGGGACTTGGGACTTGGGGTGTGGTGTAAGGCTCTGAGTTCCACGCATAGCACCACACAAAAAAGAACAAAGGTATTTACACACCATTCAGTGGCTGCGGACATCCTTTTCTAAGTGCAAAATGAGAATGAGCTGTTTTACTTCTCTAAGCACTCAGTGGTGGGAGGTTTTTGCTGGTTCATGCCTATATTGGCATAGGAACCTCCAGCTGGAGGAGGGAAGAGTTCCTTCCTACAGTGTTGCAACATTGCTGTCCCTGGGAATCTAGCCAACAGAGTCAGTGCATCCAGAGTCAGTGCTCTTATTCCTAAAGGCTGCTTTAGCTACATTGTTACTTGGCATTAGGCAAAACAAAACAAAACAACACAAAACACAAAAGTTGGCAGCCAGCAAGATTGCCTTTGAAGAATACAATGTTGACAGGGTCCAGGGCAGTGTGAGGATCATGTGACAGTGGACTTGTATGTGGAGGTCATGTGCCTGCCCCCCACCGTGCTCAGTGCTGGCTATGCTGCTAGCCCTTGGCTTGAGAGCCTGGGTCCATGCTCCCTCATTGCCCCTCGTCCATTTCCCAGCATCCTTCCTCTGCCTCTCCCTGGAGTTTTCTTCCAGCATCCGCTCCTGCTGCTGGTCTTAGTCCTCCAGCATAGGTGGGTGTCGCCTTTTTTCCCTGCTGGCTCTGAGCATGTGTGCTGGGGCTCCAGCTTGGCCAGGGTTCTGGGCAGCTTTGGGGAATGGGAGACAGGAGAGTCTGAAAGTGACTGTTGTACTATTGTGGGGCAGAGATAATGAAGGAGTCTTTAGAAGAGAGGCCTTTTCAGTCCATGCTGTGCCTGGTACTGTGGAGTGTGTGTGTGTGTGTGTGTGTGTGTGTGTGTGATACTCCCAATGATTGGAGAGGAGAAAGTCTCCCCACACATGAATCTACCATCAGTCTGCCAAGCTACCACCACAAGGGAAGACAAATAACCCAAAACAATGGGAGCCTTTTCAAAAACTCATATACTCCATAAAGGGATAAGAAAAGTCAGTCTGATTCAGAAAAGATCTTCCCTGAGAGAGAGAGAGAGAGAGAGAGAGAGAGAGAGACAGGGGAGGGTATTAGCTCAAGTCATCCCATTTACTTAAACCTCTTCCCCCATCTTGATGGAACTGTAGTAATTCCTGAAACTACAGTAGTTTGGTTTCCTGGGTTAAAGTACCCTTTTCTCCTAGATTCCTGCCCTTCCCACCCTTGTAGGGATTCAGAGATGCCTGCCCGCAAGCTTGCACTATAGGCTGCTCATCAGTCATGTGGCCTAGAGCCTCCCCCTTTTCCTCTGAATCCTGTAAGGAGGGACCCCCACTCTTCCATGCAGGACTGAACTTTCCTCAGAGCCCCGCTACCCCCACCATCCTACTGTCTGTCTGTCCCATTATGGCATTTTTAATAACTCTTCTCGTAAGCATTTTAGCACCCACCAGCGTTCCCCTTGAGCTCTGTTGTAGTTTCATTTCTGTTGCTCTGATAGAAACACCCTGACAAAAAGCACCTGAAAGAACCAGGGTGGTGGGCATGCTTTTAATCCCAGTGCTCAGCAGGCAGATGCAAGTGGATCTCTGTGAGGTCAAGACCAGTCTGGGCTACGTGGTGAGATCCTATCTCAAACAAAAAACCAAACAACTGAGGGAAAGGGATTTATTTCATCTTGTAATTCCAGGTTATAGTTCATCATTATGGGCAAGTCAAGGTAGGAACTTCAAACAACAGGCCACAAAATATCCACAGTCAAGCACAGAGAAAATACATGTGTGCATCAGCTTGATTTCTGTTCTCTTACATAGCTCAGAACTTCCTGCCTAGGGAATGGTGCTACCCACAGTTGCCTGGTGTATTAGGGTTCACTAATGGAAGAAAACTCATAGACAGGGGCTCTACCCCGAGCCACGCCCACAGCCCTTCACTAGGGGATCCTAAGCTGTCACTTTACTCCTGAGCCACACCCTAAGCCCCTCACTGGGGGATTCTAGGCTGTCACTCTACCCCTGAACCCCTTACTGAGTTTGATCTTTGAATTCCACAGTAGAAGGAGAGAACCAACTTCTCAGAGCTTTCCCCTGACTCCCTGTGTATGCATGCATACACAGTACATGTATACACAGTACACATACACACAAATGAATAAGCGAATAAATAAATGTTAAAAAGAGGTTATGGTTATGGGGGCTGGAGAGACTGCTTAGTGGTGAAGAGCACTGGCTATTCTTACAGAGAACCTAGGTTCAGTTCCCAGAACCCATATGGCAGCTAACATGGCATCTGTGTCTAGTTCCAGGAGATTTGATGCTCTCTTCTGGCCTCTGTGGACATTGCATGCATGTACATTCACTTAGGCAAAACACTCATACATAAAATAAAAATAAATGAGATTTTTATAAAATTTAAAAATAAGCTGGGCATGGTGGTACATGCCTTCTAATTCCGGCACTTGGGAGGCAGAAGCAGGCAGAGCTCTGTGAGGTTGAGGCCAGCCTGGTCTACACAGTGAGTTCCAGGCCAGCTGGGG